ACACCGACGGATCAGCCGACAATGTTCCGGAGTATATACTACGACCTGAAAGAAAGTATAAGAAGAGCTTTTAACAGCGCATGCAAACATTTACGGCTGTCTTATACCAGGCAGAAGAAATATTATGACCGACATTGCCGGACGAACGTCTACCGAGAAGGCGACTTAGTGCAAATTTACAGACCGGTTCCCCCACCTGGAACACACTGTAAGTTCCATCACCCCTGGAGTAGGGACCCATTTCGGGTAGTGAAGGCGCTCTCGCCCACAAACTACCTCGTCCGCAACGCACAACTGCGTACCCAGCCTGTAACCGTTCATCACAACAAGATGAGACCATATAAAGGGCCACCTCCGGTTGGTTACGAAGATGAGGTTTACGTCCTGAGCGAAGACAGGAGACCGCCGGTTAAGAACCTCAATGGGAGCTCATAAGTGGTAGCACCGGGGACGGCGCTAAAAGGACGAAGGGGCTATGTAATGCTTATGTTGTTTTAATGTGCCTTTCAGGGAGGCGGCAAGCAGGAAATTCGAGCCTTGTAACCGGATTGTCCTCTCCCTTACCTAATGACTGCGGCTCCCCTCCTTCTTGAATATTGCATTTTACCTATCCATCTTGTCACCTTTAATAAAGATGTCCAAAGCAAATCAACCGGGCTTGTCTAGGAACGCTAGGAATCGGGAAGCGGAGACCGAGGAGCCTCGTTCAGGACACATCACCATCGAGAATGTGATGGGAGTACTGGGAGAAAAGACGAGATGAAATAAAGTTAAGTTTGTTAAGGCAAGAGCCAGATTAATTGCTTGCAGAGAGAAGGACCATCATCACAACAAAGTTCGCGGCAGCAAGTTATTTGGTTGCAATTCAATGCATTGATCAAAACTGAGTCAGATGCATAAGCCCGACCAACTTTGAAAAAGAGTCTCGATAGAGGGATTTCCCACTCTGCATCTCCGTCTTGCTTCTACTTTCGGTACTTTACCTTGTCCTCTGGTTTTCTGAAATTATTTAAAATGCGTCAGCATGTGAAACAAAATCTCAAATGAAGCACATTTCATTCCAAAAAATCCAGTTGCTGTTAATAATGAAAACTTTTAATTTTAGGCGAATTCTCTATAAAGACAGATATGATGCATTTAAAATGGTTTTTACTCCTTTTTCTGGCAAAAAGTATGCTATTGCCCTTCCACCTTAGTTTACTGGCTCTTTGTTTTGCACCTGAACTCATTTAATAGTAAATTACAAAAACTATGTAATTAATATACAAATAAGATAATGGGCTCTAATACCTTGTTCCCTTTCGATGGACTCAGCAAAACAATCTGATTTGCATCTTTTTGTTTGAATTCGTCGAAACCCCGCTGACATTGTTGTGTGCTTGGGTTCGTTTGGGTTATCGGTGCCTTTTGTGCACTAAGGGAAGCTACGTTGAATCATAGGCTTTTACCGGCCTTGGCATGATACTTCATAGTGTCGTTGATCACGAACTTAGCTGATGCCTACGTGCAATTGAATTCGTCATGCCTGAACTGAATTCCCTGCCTCACACAAATTGGCAGCGTGGGATTTGGGTTTGCACGTGGGTTTTGTTTTTAACGCATAAATATAATGATTCTACAAACCTGAAGCTATTCGGCAAAATATTTGCATGAATAGAGGCCGAAGTGCTTGTTTGCGCTGAGGGGACTTGTCGGTATTCTATGTTTTCACTAATGAGACCTTGCAATTTTATTTTCCTTGTATTTGCATTGCATCACACGCCATTGCCTTATAATGTCGCTGACAGAATTTGATTGGCATAAATTTTAATTCACGAATTCTTCCATTATTTATTGAGCTATGTCCAGTTGTGCAGTGTGTTTCCTGGCTGGCGTGCTATGTGATTCAATCTTGCAAAATAAGTGTGTAAAATTGCTTTGTCGTCAAATAGTAGAAAGTGGAAGCCATTTGTTTGGGACATATTAGGATGTGCGATGACATTTCCTTTGCCATTAACAAAATTTATACCCATAAACGAAGTACTTGTAGACCTCCCTCGGTTTTTTCCTTAGTTTTCTGGGTTGATCCATTTTGGTTTTTCCGTTTGCATTTTAGGAGGGACGTAGGGATAACAGTTTGCCCGGAAGGCATTGGATCAGTGCTCAATATCCCCGAAAATGACATTCAGATGGAGAAGTGCTTACGTTCTCATTCATTTGTCTATGCATGGACTCATTTGATTAATAGTTGGATGTTCTTTTGACGATGAAATTTGAACATGGAATATGCACAAGTGGGCTTCTAACTTTGGCTGTGGAGTCCCGCAGTGGCGTAGGAATGTGATGACAAGAAGTACAAAGTGATAGCTGGTCGACGTCTGCTGTGTTGTAATTGAGCGGGCGACAGATGCTTTCCAGAATGTTTTTTTGTTGTTATCCCTACTCGATACATCCAGATCGTATTTTTCTCATCTAGTGTTTTGTCACTGTTGCGTAAACATTTTTATAATCAAATTTAGTGCATCTGACTGATGGCAAGTGGATGCATATTTGGTT